GATCTTAAGGTTTATTAATGTGGATATAATAAAACTTTGTAGAAATATAACCTCTGCGTTTTTCTACCCGTTATTAATAAATTAGGATGGACTTGAACTTTTATATTTTACAAAAAAATCAGTAAAAACCATCAGCTTAAGTTTTGATAAATTGTTAAGGCTTTATCAAAAGTATGACGAAGTAATTGAGGATTATGATGGTTTTATTTAAAAATATATTTAAAATAAATTACTACGCAACTTTATAAAGCCTCTTTAGTTTATAATTATTTTAATGTCAGTTTATACACTTTTTACATTTTTCTTTAAATTAAAGTTTGACGTTCAATTGTGTTCATAATAATAATTTCTACTTTAAACTTAGCTAAAAAAAAACTCCTTTACCCTTTATCTTTGTTGAATAAATAATTATTATTTATTTATTAATATTTTTAATTTTTTTACTCTTAGATGTTAGGAAAGTAAACAGCTCCAGAAATCAATTGCTGTACTCGCGAGATTATATAAATAAAATTACTACAACACTTGATACTGTTCAGGTTCTTTTAGAAATTTTGATTGAGGCTTATACTTCAAGTCGAATTTTTTAAAAAGAAATCCATATATTTTACTATTTTTAGTTAAAAATAACATAAAATAATTAGTTTTATGTAAAAATGCTAGAAATTTATTAAATTATTATACTTTTAACTAATTTTATATACAATTTTAAAAAGCGTACTATTACTTATTACTTTCTAAAACAATTAATAAAATAATTTGTTTTATTAATTTTAGTAATCCTCAATCCATTTACTTTTCTAAAAAACTTTAAACAAATCTTTTAATATTTTTATTATATATTATAATTTTTTTGTATTATTTATTTATTAGTTTAAATTCTTTAATTGGTTTATTTTCAACTTTTTTGTTAAAATCTTTCTTAATTTTGTTTAAGAAATTTTTTTTTTTTCTGTTAAAAAGCTTTTCCTTTTTAGGGCTTAAAAGTAAATATTTCATTTTTTAGCTCAACTTAAATTTTTTTACTAAAAAAAATTTTCCAATTGTATTTTTAATACTTTTTTGGTTTATTTTTATTTATTTTTTATTTTTATTTGCTTTTTTTAAGATTGAATTTCTTAAAAAAGTTTTTATAAATTCTTTTATTTTATCACTTTATTATTTTCCGATTTTATCATTTTAATTTTTTTTTGTTTTATCTGTAGTTTTTAACTAATTTATTACGGATTTCTCATAAATTTTTTGTTTTAATACTTTTTAATTTCTTTTCCTGCTTAAATTTATATATATTTTCTCTTGACTAGTATTTATAGGATTTTAGATACAAGTTAGAATCGTTTTACTTCAACTTTGATTTTATGTGATTTTATTACTTTTTTATAATTTCCTGATCATAAATTTATAAATTCTCTTAAATTCTTAATTTTTTAATAGATTTTAAATCCAAAATTAGAATTGTTTTACTATTTTTTTTTTAAAATATACTTTTCAGAAAATAATTATTTTATTACTTTTTTTATTATTTATTAATAATAATTTTTAAAAGAATTTACTTTTTGAGGCCAATATATTTATAGACTTTAAGACACGAATTAGAAAGTTCTGATGTAAATTTACTTCAAGTTCATACCAAGCTGGGCCAGTTGGAAAGAATTAGGTAATAACAATAATAATAAATAATTAAAAAATATAATACAATAAAAAAATAAATTATTTTATTAATAATAAAAGTATATATTAATATTAAATAGAAATAATGAAAACTAAAGTAAGTTAAAAATTATAATAATAAATTGTAAAAAAGTAAAGAAGATAATAAAGTTAAAGTATTTTTTATTGATAATAAATAGAAAAAATTAAAAAGTAATAGTTATAGAAAATTATAACAATAATAAAAATTGTTATTACAATTATTGTAGATAAAAAAGAGCGAAAATAATAGTCAATAAATTATTATATAAATAATAAAAGCAATAATTAATATATAATAAAGAATAAAGAAAATAATTAAATTTAAATTATTATATTAATTATATAAATCAAAAGTATCATAATTAGTAATGACTATTTTACCTTATAAATAGTTAAAGTACTTAAAAATGTTAAATAAATAAATTGAAATAATTATCAATAAAAAATCAAATAAATTATAAAAGTTGCATGCCGACAAATTTTTTACTATTTTAGTTTTTTCAATTTTTTTTATATTTAATTTTAATATAAGTTCTTTCTTATGTATACTTTATAAATAACTTTTTTTTTTGCTTTCCTTTTTGTATAATAACAATTAATAAAAATAAAAACTATAAAATAATTTTATATAAAATAAACTTTTACTTATTTACAATCAATATTTCTTATTATTCTAGTAATTTCTTTTTATTATAAACTTTTTAATCAATATAATATTTTTTTAGCTAATCATTAATAAACTAAAAAAAGATTTTGGTTGTTATAAATATTCATTATTACAAGTATTATAGTATAATAAATAAAACTTTTACTGATTGTTATTATTGTATATTCTCTTATTATTGATACGTTTCTATTAACTTTTATATTGTATTATTTTCAAGTCACTTTTGTATTTAATATAATTTGTTTAATAATTATAATTTTTTATTTATATATTTATTATAAAAGATTTTATTATTTTTTTTTTGTTATTATTTTCTGTTTACTTTTATATTTGATATAATAATTTTCATAATATTTTTTTATTTTTTTTATTTTTTTTATAAAAACATTTTTTAACTTCATTATTTTGTTGTTTGGTTTATTTACTTTTATTAGGAGTATTCAATATAATTTATTCGTAGTCAACTTTTTTTCATTTTATTTATTATTATAGTATATTTTTCAAAGTTTATTGTTAAATATATTTTTTTCTACACATTTTAAATGTATTATTTTAAAAGTTTTATATTTTTAATCCTTATAATACTTTTTTTTTTAAATTGTTTATTTAATTTTTTTTTCGGTAAATAATTATAAATTTATTTTATTATTATTTTTATAACTTTTTTATTTTATAAATTTTTTTTTTTTAGTTTTCATATTAATACCAACTATTAAAAATATATTGATTTCATTCTTGTAAATATAAGAATTAAGTTTCTTTTTTTCCTTACAAAAAATTATCGTTATATACTTTTTAGACTTTTTACGTTAATCTTCCTTTTATATATTATTTTTTATTATTTAACTTTTAATAATTATTTTTTTGTTCTTATATTTAGTATGGTTTTACTTTTCATTATATATTTTATTTTTTTTTTGCTCATTTTTATAGTTAAATATAACTATCAACTTTTTTATTGTAATTTCTAACTTTTCTTTGATATTTTTTTTCTTTTTTTCTAATAATATTTACTTTATATTATTTTTTTTATCCTTTTTGTATGAAGTTTTCTTTTTAATGATATATACAATTTCTTATTTTTTTTTAACATTTATATGATATTTCTTTGTTATTTTTAATAATAATTTTATTTTTATTATATTAATATTAAAGAGACGAACTTTTATACACCGCCAAAGACGATCCCGAGCAGCGACGCTATTTATCTTCTTACTTTCATCCCGTTAATGATTTGTGTAGCAAACTTGAAAGTATCATGTGGACTTTCCTTTCGAACGTTTTTACTTTGTTTGTTATTATTTTATTTGAGTTTTAAAAATGTAAAACAAGTATATAAATATAACAATATATAAACAACAATATTTTGTTATAAATATTAATATAAAAGTAGTAATAAATATAATATTGATATTAAATTTCTTATATAATTAACGATAAAAACTTTTTATTTATAAGAAAATTATTATATTAAATAAATCTATTAATAGATACAATTGTTATAATTCTTATATATCATTGTTTATAATAGTATATGAACCTAAAATAAAATAATTATTCTTTTTTACATTTATTTTTACAATAAAAAAAAAACAAAAAAACGTAAGTATTAAAAATATTGTATATTAAATATTAATATAAATTTATTAATAAAATAAATATAAATACAAAAAAACTTATATTAAAATATTGTATTAAAATTATCAATAGAATACAATTATAAAGACAATAAATAAATTTTTATATTAAAATAAACAGAAACTTTTGAAATATAATAAAATAAAGTTTTATATAAATTACTAAATTCAAAATAATACGAACCGCAAGTTATTAATATTTTTCACGATACATATTTATTTCTATTTTATTATTATTTATCACGAAAACTTGTATTTGCATTATACTTTATATTTTCCGTTCTTTATGTTAATTTCTGTTTATAGCTTATTAGTAATTTATATTGTAATAATTTTTAATATATATATTTACTATTATATATTTCTATATTTATTGTTCATTATTATTTTTTATAAACTTCTCATCTTATCTAATACTTATTATATAGTATCATTTATTTATATTATTATATATTTCTTCGTTGTTTCTAACAAATTTTTATTACATATATTTATAACTAAAATTGCTTGTTTCAGAGAATAATTACTGCGTTTACCTCTTAAAACATAAAAATAACGGCTCCTACGTGAGTCGAGCATGTGGGTAAACACGCGTTTACTATACATTGTTTTGAAAAGAAAATTTCTATTAAGTAATAAAAACGTTATTTAAAAGCAAAAACCAATCATATTCGCGCGTCTTTGGGTGAAAAAAAATATAAAATGAAGAAACTTTTAATATAGGAAACTTTAGTATTTTCCATAAACTATTTTTAAACTTTTTTTTTTTATTTTTATAATTTTATATAAAATATTATATTATATAATATTTTTTATGAATATATTTTTAATATGCACGAAACTTTATTAACTTAATATATATATAATTAAAATGTTTCTTACTGTATATTATATTTTATTATTTATAATATTTACTTATTTTTAATATTACTACTGTGAACTTATTTAAGAAACTGTGTTTTCAAAAAATTTATATATCGTTTATAGAAAAATTATGTGTACTTCTATTTTCTTTATTATTTTATTAATGTAACATTAATTATATAAACGGCACTCTATTTTTTTTTTACTTCTATATATTGTATATAAAATTTTATTTACGACTTTTTTAATTATTATTATTATATATAATATTTTTTTTATTTCTTATATGTATTAATTATATATACGTAATAATATTAAATTATAAAAGAAACCTGACATTTGGAAAATATTTTCATGTAAAGGAAATTCATAACTTTCTTTTCTTTATTATTTAAAAAAATATTAATAAAATTTTTATTTATTGCAAATTGTATATTATACGTAATAATAATAATAATAATCTGCTTTAATATATATTAATAAAAACCTTTTATATTTATATCTTAAATAATTTTTTATATAAATTATATTTATACTTTTTTTTCTATAATATATTCATAAGTTTTTCTTGTATTAAATAATATTTCCTCTATTTATTTATTTATGTTATACTGGTACTAAAGAGATCTTTTTTATTAATAAAAAGAATATTTATATATTATACACTTTTTTTTCTTTTTTTTATACTTTTATATAAAACATGTTATATAATACTTTAATTATACGTTGTAATAATTAATTTTAAAGATTAGTTATTATTTTTATAGTTAAATATTTAATTTTTTATACAATTTATTCGGTTTATACTTTTTTCTCAGTAATAATAAGCTTTTTGATTTTTTATAATATAAATAAAGGAAACTTTTTTTTAGTATATTTATATTTTTATAATATTAATATTTTATAAAGACAATTTATTTATATTATATATATTATTATTATATTTTTCTTATATCAGAAAACCATTTTTACTAAATATATTCAATATATTTTATTTTTTACTGCACATTATTTGAAAGTATTACTTAATATTATTGTAATTTTCAATAAAAGGTTATTATATTTAATATTTAGTCTCCTTTCTTCCTTTTTTTTCTATATATTTTTGATATTTTAATCGTCTTTTTTATTAATTTATAATAATATTCATATTTTATATTTTTCATATATTATACATCAAAAAGTTATTATTATTATTGTTTTTATATAAAATATTATTCTTTAAAATATTTATTTAATTCTTTGTGTTTTATTAGAAATAAATTTCTTTTATTTTTATAATTATTTTGTTCTGTCTTTATATTTTATATTATAAATAATATATATTTTTTCTCCATAATAAAAAGCTTATCGAACTTTGCAGTACGGCGCCACGCTTTATAGTGTCCATCATGCTTATCGTGCAAAGAGAATGCGCAATAGATAAAGTTTATAGATAAGACTTTGGTATACCATGAAAAAAGTTTTGAGTATTTTGGTTTTTACTAGGAGGTCACTATTCCCGATCTCAAAATTGATACTTCCAGCAGACCAAAGAATTATAAAACAAAAGTAATATTAATAATATATAAATAATAAATATATATGAAAAAATAAATAAGAAGTTATTAATAAAAAAAATTGGAATGATAAAAAGCATTGATAATAAGTTATTGATAATTATTAATTTTAATGTAATATGAAATATATATGAAAGTTATAGAAAAATAGTTGGAATAATAAATATTTTTATATAAAAAAATTATAAGGAAAATAGTTTTGTATAATATAAATATAAAAAAAATTTTAAATAAAAAATTACTAAATGGAAAACTTTAAAGAAAGTTATAAATATAAAAATTTAATAGAAAATATAAAATAATAACTTAAAAAGTTTTAAAATAAAAATAATAAATAATAATTTTTGATATAAAAAATATTATAAGCAAGTTGGAGTTAATAACTATAAAAAACTTTTGAAGTAACTAGCAATTATACGAAGAACAGCAGTTTGTAGTAAAATAATAAAAAAGGAAGTAATAAACTTGGAAAAAATAATAATAGCGATAAATATTAACAAAAACAACTATTAGTTAATACAAAAAAATTTTCTTTTAATCCAAAAATATAAATAAATAAAATATAATACCGAAAAACTTTAAAGGAACAAAAATAAAAATTTAAAAATAAATAAAAAGTTGGAAGTAAAAAAAAATATATTGAGTAAAACTTTTAAACTTTAAAGTCAGTAAAGTTTATAGGATAAAATGATTATGATAACTTTTAAAATAATAATAAAAGATGACATTAATGAAAGCATTTTACTATAAATATATAACTTTTGTAAAACTTTTTTTTTAAAAGTTTTATAAATAATATCGGTAGTTAAAGTAAAAATTTAATGCTATATAAAATAAAAAAGTATTTATGAAAATAAAAAAGTAAATGTTAATATCTAACTTTTATATAATTTTTTTTCTAAGTAAAAATAAATATTTATAAAAGTATAATAAAAAGTAAACAATAATACTTAACTCTCATATAAACTTAAAAAAGTTTTTAAAGACTTTCAGCTCGAATAACTGTTATGTGTAGTTGAGGGTAGGCCGCCTGAAAGCATTACCCTACTGACGCGTTATGCCATGTGGCGGCCGGTGTGCTCCTTCGGCGACTCGAGAGCAGTCAAAGAAACTCATTATTTTTTTTTGTTGTTTATAATATATTGGTTCTTGAATTGCTTATAATAAGAATATAAATATTAATATTATTAAAAAGTATGGAATATATAACTTTTATAGATGAGACATAAAAAAATTTCTGTATAGAATATAAATAAAAAAGTAATAATAACAATGTAAATAAGAAAAGTACTGACTTTTAGTACTAAACAGGCCACTTCTGTTATACTCAATAGCATTTCCACGAAGTTTGAAACGTTTTTACTTTCAGATAATAATAATAGTAGTACACTTCAAAGTCTTAAGGAAACTATAGAAAAATTACGTTTTGTGTTTAAGGTTTTACTTGTTATTATTATTAAAACATTTTATATTAAGAAACTCGCTTTATATCCATTTTTGTTATAAATTATACTTTTTTTAAATATTTTTTATCTTATAATAGGTATTATTATTTATAGTATCTAAATAAATTATACAAACTATATCTATTTATTAAATTTTTATTACATTTTCATATGTATATATATTATTATGCATAAAAATATTTTTACAAGCTCGCTTTATATATTTATATATTATTTTATATACTTTCTAAATTATTTTTATAATTTTATATAAATATATACACACCCGCTTTAAACAACTATTTATTATTTTATTATCAAATAATAATTATTTATTAAAACTATAATTAATATTAATATAATTTTTATGCTTTTTTAATATTTTATATAGGAACATGCAAACTCTATAAACTTTCTTATGTTTATATATTATTTATATATTTATTAAGGTTTTTTATTATATTATACATACTTATTTATTTGTTTTTATTTAGTACTTGTTATAAATACTTTTTTATTTCATTTACATTTATTATTATTTTTCTAATTTTATTATTTGTATTAATATGTAAAAGATTTATTTTATATATAAATATATTATTATTTTATATCTTTATTATATTTTTTAATAATTATTCATTTGTTATTTTTATATATAACTTGTAATATTTATGTACTTTTATTTAAAAAATTTATTTCATTATTATAACTTCTTTCATTATAAATATATTTATTATTTGTATCTATAAAATATATATTGTCTGTTTTTTTTTATTATGTATTTTCTACTTTTATATAAGTTTTTATTTATTTTAATGATTCTTATTATTAGTGTTCTCTTTTTATTATTCTATTTTTATCAAAAAAATTATTATATATATATATTCTTACAGTTTTTTATTTTTTAAGATTTCTATTTATCTATTTTTCTATCAATAATCAAATTAATATAATAATATGCTATTTTTATTGTTTATTTATATATATTTATATTTTTTTTACTTTTTATTACTTCAGTATTTTTATTAATAATACTATTTTTATATATTACTTTTTTTCAGTTTTCTCTCATTCCTAGATGCTTTTCATTATTTTTCTAATAATAATATTTTTTGGTAGGACTTGGAAATTGTGCAAACGCACGCCGTTAAATGCATGCCTCCAGACTTTGCAATATTTGATATGTACTTGGACAACTATAACGAACGTGTCCGCACTTTGCTACGGCGCTTCACTGAACCTCCTCGTGATTGACTTTTTACTAATAATTATTTTTATTATTAATTTAGTATATTAATATTATTTTACTTAACATTTTTATTTTTTATCTCTTTAAAATTCAATATAATTTTTATTTTACTTATTATTATTATTTATTTATATCAAATATTTATTATATCCTTATATTTTACTTATTGTTATTGTATACTTTTATAAAATATTTATTATATATATATTTTTCTTTTTATTCACTATTTGCATTAAATAATCTTTATATATATTGCTTGTTATAATTACATAAATTTGTTAAATATTTATTATAAACAATATTTTACTAATTATTTATTTTTCTTTAATATTTATTTTTTATTGATATTTACTTAACATTATTACATTTTTTATATTACATTTTCTTTTTATAATATATATTATATTATTACTTTTATTTTTTTTTATGGATTCCTTTCTATATTATTTTACTTATCATTATATAAAATTATTATCATTTTATTGTTGTTACTTATTAAATTATATTCAGTATTTTTATTATAATAATTATTTTTTTTAGCTTTAAAAAATTATTTCTGAGTATTAATATTAATATTACTATAATTATTATAGTCTCTTTTTATTTATTTTTATATTTTAATATTGTTTGCAATTTTTATTGATTATAACTATAATATTATTTCTTAAATACTTTCTTTTTTATTATTGCTTACTTTTCTTTTACAATTTATTATTACTATGATAATATACTTTTTCCTTATTTACTTTCTATTTAACATTATTTTAAATTTTTAATATTTTTCTTATTATTTATTACTTTGATTATTATTAAGATTATTTTTTTACTCTTCTTAATATTATTTATATCTAATAAACTTTTATTTCTTATATTGTTTTTAATATTTTTTATTCAGTACTTAAGCATTTCGCTATTTTACTATATATAATTTTTTTTTTTATTTATTTTTTCTTATTTATTATTCTATATTATTACTTTCTATAGTTACTATAATTATATTTTTTAATATATTTTATACATATTAAATTTTTATTTATAATTAATTGTTATAATATTTTTCTAATATATTTTTATTATTTTTACATTATGAATGTACTTTAAATATTTAATTATCAATATTATTAATATTGTACTTCCTATTATTTTAATATGATTAGTGATACTTTAATTAATATTTGTAATACTTCATCTCTTATAATATTATAAATACTTTTTTAGTTCTAATAATACTTTTTATAAATTTTATTTTCCTGTTATTTATTATTATTGTCACTTTTAATGTAATTATATTTTATTATTATTACTTCTTAATATTTCTTTTTTCTTGTTATAATCACTTTTTTGTATTATTTTATTATATTTACTAATTACATGTACGTTTTCATTGTTATATATCATAATATATTCTATTTTTTATTATTATTTACTTTATTCGCAGTTCAATTATTTATCTTTTCAGTTTCCTTATATATTTTATTATTAATATTTATAGTTATTAACCATTTTATATATTATTTAATATTTATATTTTATTATTATTATTACTTATGATCTTCACCTTTTACTTATTATTCTTTTTATTCTTATATTCTATTCAGTTATCAATTCTCTCGATACTTCTGATATTTGGCTTCTAATGAATTACGTTGATCAGTACGTATACGATATGCTTCATCGGCTGAACGTTCCTCTTGCGAGAATTGAGCCTTTAATCCTCCAAGGAAAGGTATTATTATTATTATTCCAATTACTATTACTTTTTATAATTATTTTGAGGATGAATTGTTAAACAACTTGTATACGGCACAAGTAAAACTAAAAATGAAAACGTGGACAAAAAATTTATTAAAGTTTTGCTTTTTATATATATAATATTTAATAGTAATTATCACTTTTTATTATCTGCTTATCTACTTATTATTATTATTATAAAGTTCAGAGCATGAAGAGTGGTTTTCAGGTAAAAGAAAACATGAGGAACCTGAAAAAAATGAAAAAGGGCAGTACATATCGAGCCTTCCGGTAGTACTTTTCCAAATGATCGAACAGCAAGTAAATACTATAATTATTATTATTACTATTATTGCTATTTTTATATTAATATTGAGTTAAGCGTTGCTTCCAAAACGAAACGTTCTACTTTTAAAGGTTTAGTCCTTCAAGAATGCATCGAAGCTTTATTTTATTTTCAAGAAAACTTTGAAGTATTTTATTTTATTTATTATTATTTATTTTGTATATTTTTTGCTATTTTTTATTTTAATATAATTTTTTTTTACTATTTATTTATTTTACTTCTATATTCTTGTTATTACTTTATTTTACTTATAATATTTATTTTGTACATTTTCTTTATTTATTATACTTAAATTTTAATTTTTTACTTTTACAAGGTTTTTTTCCTTTTATATTATTTATATATTATTATTTTTTTTATATATTTTTTGTTATAATTTTAAATATATTTATGGTATTATTATTTTATTTTCATTATATTTAATTTAATATTAAAATTTTTTATTTTCGTATATATTTAAAGCAAATGATTCGCCAACAAGGAGAGCGATTTCTAAATGATGAGCCCAATAACGAGTTTTTTAATGAATATATGATGATTGTTGGTATCAAAAATAATAATAACGACCAAAAAAATAATGATGTCTATAATAATCATAAAATAGTGAATAACTGCTGTAAATGCACACAATACGCACAACATCTCGCCATTAATTTGCTGGAAGAACTCGATTTTTCTACTCGAGACCGAACCAAAACACGAGTGGCCAATGTCGTTAGAGGATTTCAGAAGCTTGCCCAATCAGCTTATTCGTATTTAAATATATTATTATAATTATTAGCATTTTTATTTTTACTATTTAAGATTTCTTATAAAAGTTATTCTGAAAGACTCGCAGGACTGCTTCTCTTCTTTCTTTACGAAAAACTGGTGGCCATAATTTATTTATATCTATAAAAAAAAGTTGATAACAATATTTAAAATACATATTAATGAGAAAACTTTATATTATATAATTCTATTTATAGAAAAATAAAAAATAGATAAAGCATATAAATAGGAAAAACTTTTTATTATGTTATTATATTTATTAAAAAAAAATATTAAGTAGAATAGTTTTTTATATATAAAATAATAATAATTTAAGCAAGTAAATTATTTATTCTATTTTTAAAAAAATATATAATCAAAAGTAAACTAAGTTATATAAGTATAATAATGGAAACTTCAAAATATTATTTTATTTATAAAAAAAAGTAATGATATATATTAAAAAATAAATAATAAGTAAAATAAAAACTTTTTATAACATTATACTTCAAATAAATTATGATAAGTAAAATAAATGGTATGATAAACTTAAATGTTATTAATATTTATAATAAATAAGAAAATTTTTTATTATTTTTTATACTTAATGATAAATGAATAATAAATAAATTAAAAACTTTATATATCAATAATAATAAGTAAAATAACTTTCTTTTATATATAATTATAAGAAAAATTTTGTGTTTATAATAAAGGGTTTTTCATATATAATAATAATAAGAAAAAGTTATATATTATAAATATAAAAAAAAAGTAAATAACCACAAGTAAAAATAGATTTTATATTCATTTTATAATAAAACTTTTTCATCACTTCTTTATTATTTTCACTTTTTATTTATTATAATATTATCGTTTATACAGTTTTACTTTACTTTTTTATATTACTTTATTCAATTTAAAAATTCATTACTTTTTTATTTTTATTTTGTTTCTAAAAATTTAATAATAAAAACAATAAGAAGTATAATCTGTTTAACTACTATATAATAATACATAATACCATTAAATGAAGACTTAGGTTGATATTTATTGCTTTATTATTTTCACTTTCATTCAGTTTGTATAGTTCTACTTTTATACTATAATTTTTTTACTATTTGTTTTATATAAGTATAAAAATATTAATGATTCTAAGCAAATGGTTTGTTTAATGGTTTGGTTTATACGTATAATGACAAAAATAAATTATAAAAAGTTAAATCATTTTTATGTTATTTATAATAAATATTTTTTTTATACAAACTTTTCTTTTATATACTATTTATTGTTATATTTGTTTTTTATGTATTATTATTGCGTTTATATATTCAACTTTATTTTAAAAAATAATTTTTTCAAGTGAAATTTTTCAGTAAAACTAATAATATTCAGGTACTCTAAAACTTCTCAAGACTTGGAAACTATTTTACTTACAACTGATGATTATTTTCAGGACTTCCAAGTACTGGAACTATTAAATTATTATAATTTATTATTATTATTACTATTATTATAGTTATTAATTGTTATTGTTACTTTATTATTGTTGATTACAATTATTATTATCATTACTAGTAGTATTATTCCTATTAATATTATTTAAAGTAGTGTTAATATTATAGTTGTTGTTGATGATAATAAATAAATTACTAATTTTAATACTATTATTATTTATTTATTATTACCACTGTTTTTAATTTTACTATTATTAATAATATTATTGTTATTATTACAATATTGCTTATTATTATGATGGTTATTATTATAACTATTATCATTACTGTTATATTTTTTATAACAATAATTTTCATTAATATTATTAAAGGCCCATATGGTTGAAGATATGTTCATTCAGTACGTCACCGAAACTTATTATTACTTTTTATTGGAATATACTTCTTCTTTGTTTCATAAGAATGCCATTATAAATCCCGAAAAAGTTATAAAGAATATTATTATTATTTAAATTTTAAAAAAATTGAAAAATCCTATTATTAATTTTAAAGGGATTAAAAAGTTATAATTTTTGTGAAATATTGTTAAAATTTTAAAAAGTATTATAATAAATAAAAAAAAAAGTATTAAAATTTTTTTAAACTGTTTCAGTAATTAATTATATAAAAAAAAATTAAATAATATAATTTTGATGTATTAGTATAAAAAGTTTAACAAAAAAATTATTCTGTTTAAATTTTTATGGTTAACTTTTATATTATTACTCTAATTAATTTATAATAATAATACTTTCAAAAAAAAGATTGGCGAACTGATGGAAAACGACATGAGAAAACTTAATAAACTTTTTTCTAATTATGGAGCCCTTCATATCAATGAAAAATATGGCACTTCCTATATTATAATAACTATTTATTATCATATTATTACTATAATATTTCTTTTTCTCAGTTCTATAAACTTATTTCATATATATTAATACCAAATCTTTATTTTTCGAATTGGAAAAAGCTTATATAATATTAATTTATTATATAATTATTAAAAGCAATGCTACTTTTTATCAACCTTGAACTTCACAATTATAATATTTATAACACTTTTTACTATAATTTTTATAAAGATGTTATATTTCTATAAGTATTGAATTATTATATATAGTTCAGCAAAGACCTTTATAATATTATGAAGTTATATACTTTTTTATATCTATTTATATATATACATTTATTATATATAACTCAGCAGTGAAAGTTTGTTTCTAATAATAATATGTAAATACATTATTTTTATTAAGCAACACTGAAATCTTTGAAGGAACTTTGCGAGTGCTCCGTTGAGTTTTTCACTTTGAGTTTTGTAGATTTGAAGCAAAAACATCCAGAATTTTCTTTGGTACGGTTATATTTTTATTTAGGAGTGAAAAAGTTATCTTCACTTTCGTATAGTAGTGACTTTCATTATTCTCTTTGGTAATTAATTGGTACTTTGGATTTCTTTATTGGTCTTTGTTAATTACATTGATACAAGATAATAAATGGTTAAATTATTTGCACCACAATTTCAGTTCGTTATTATTCGTATCAAAATATTAACTAGTTGGTTTTTGGTATCTACCTTGGTTTTTGTTTTTAATACTAATACAAATTAGTAAAGTATTTCCTTTATTACTTTGTATTAGTTTGGTGCTCTTTGTTTCTAATTTGACCTTTTCTATAATTTGACACAGATAGATATAAATTATCTACAGCATATTTTGTATGTGTTGGCACTTTAAGTTTCTATTTTGCTCTTTATTATTTTCACAGATTCAATATTATTTATTTTCGTTTTTATTATTATAAAAATTAAATACTAATTTTTTGGTAGATTGAGTTTCTAATTTGGTCTTATTACTCCCACTGCTACAAAATTATATACTTTCTTATATCTTATTAGTTATTAATTAGTTTAGCACTATCGTTTCAACTTTTGTTTCAACTTTCGGTCTAAATTATTTACACTTACGCCAAATATTTAAATTTCTTTTTCTTTTTTTTGTTACTTGATTAAAGTTAGTTTGGTATTTCGGTTTTACTTTGATCTTTATTATGTATACTGATGCAAAATTATTGATGTCAACAAAAAAAATTAATCCGTTTGTATAAAATGTGTTACTATGTATTGGATCTTGTCTTCACTTGGGTCTCACTATACAAAATTTACTAATTTACAACATATTTAAGATGCCGCACGTTTTATTATAAATGGGTACATTATATCTTTTTGGCGAATGTTACATTTATTTTGATGTAAAAGAATTTATTTCAACGACCGTATTATATATTTTAAACTTATACAATTTCTTTAGAGTATTTTTATGGCATATTATTAATTGTTTGATAAATATTTATTTATGATTTGTTAGTATGAATGTATATATTTAAAAGCTTTTTTTCTACTTGAAATTAAGTATGGAAATTTGAAAATTACTAATTCTATTTTTATTAGAAGTTTATATCTGTTTGGTACCTGTTATTTTTAATTTGGTATTATATGATTATTAAATTCCTCAACAATATTTTTTACGATTATTCTTATTCATTTGGTAGTTATAATTATTCATGCTGTTTCTATCTGGTCTTTTTTTTCCAACAATTAAAATTTAATAATATATTTTGATACTTTATATTCTAATTGGTTTATTACTTTAATAATATTACTAATTAAGTAAAATACTTCTGTTATAAATTAGGCTGTCTTTTTTACTTTGGTTCTTATTACGTATATTTTTGGTATCAAATTGGTTAAATTAAACTATTATTGTATTATCTCTTTAGTTACTATTAATCCCTTTCTGCTCTTGGTAAATATTTTAACGATACTCATTGGTCCATTTTTTAATTTGCACTCTACTTTATTAATTTGGTATTCCTTTTTACCAACCTATTGAATTTTATTAGCTATTTTTCAATTCTGCTATTAATTAATCCAATTTTTTTTACATATTTAGTATTTTTGCCACTTTGCTTTTTTTATTAGGCATTTATTGTTTGTAGCAACTATATTTAGCGCTTAATAGATATTTAAACTGGTATTACTTATTATATATATACGACACGGATAGTCTTCTTTTTGGTAGTATATATTTCTATTTGTTTCCCTTATTTGTTTAGTTGGTTTTTAATAAATTTCTTATTTTTCAATTGCATAAAAATCTTCAGGAATTTGGTTTTTCTATTGTTTGATTGTATCTCATTGTTTATAAAATTCATTATTTGGTACTTATTTATTACTATATTTGTGTTATAATAATTCATTCTTGTTTCTTTAAAAAGTATTAAACAAAAAATAAATTACTTCTACAAAACTTTTTGTTTGGCTTCATATTAAATACAGTTAAACCATTTTATGTTTACATAAAACTCCACCAATCATACAACTTTTAAAGTAACCAATCACGTGTAAAACCATTTTTAAATCCACTTGGCATCTACATCCGCTTCCAACCTGCAATGTTTTGTTTGAATAGTTTTTTATAATTTTTATATACATTTTTTTAAAAATTATAGTTTTTTGTGTAAAATATTTTTCTATACTTTTTTATTAAGGATATGATGGATATGCTTTTACAAAAACGAAAGGATATCTCGCGCTCGTATAATTTTTATTATTAGTATTATTTTTATCTAACGTGGAATAGTGAAAGGCAGGAGTTACTAACTTCATGCCAGCGAACTAATGTTACCTTTTCAGAAGAAAAATTAAACAGTTACATGAAAGATTTTTTTTACCAAATTAGAATTATTAAATAGCTTTTCATTCGTAATAAAGACAAAAATAAATTTTTATATAAAAAGTTTCATGTGAAATATCTCGCAACTGTCATTGGTGTATTAAAAGAGTCGTATTAGTTTTCAGGAGTCGCTAATGCATTTTGGGTAGCGTTTAGTCGCCTATAAGCAAGTCATACGGGCTTTTCTTTACTAATATTTATAAAATAGTTACGAGTTAATTGTAAAATTTTCATACCATCTGAAGCAGTAATCCAACACAGTATAGTAAAATTTACTTAGAATTATTGTATATAAAGAGTATAAGCAGACGTGTGCTTCCACATTGTTGTAATAGCTCAGTCTTTGCTGTTGTAGAAAGTGCTAGCTTATGCGCGTGACGCTAGTCCTTTCAAAATGGTTATCCGCCCTCCTTAATTATTGGACTTTGAAACTAGCTCTCGGCATTTCAGCTTGTTGATACGTTTTGTTACCGGAAATTTATCAATTTACAACTTCTTTAAGCTTCTTATTTTATAGTTTCATGTGGTTTTTTGCAGTAGAGACAAGAGGCGGTGTTGTTAGCTAATTATAGTTGAGCACAAAACAGAGTTATTTACTAAGCTAAACACCTTGAATAAGGGCTTCTCTGCATTTTGAATGCTTTACCTTCGAGCTAATTTGACCAGAATTCTCTATTTAATATTCATATTCTTCAATTTACCGGTAGTGATTAATTATCAGGTACCAGAATTTTTTATCGTTTACTTCATGAATAATTTAAAGGTTACTCTCATAAAATAACTTTATTATGATGCGTAAGCGTAGCGCCATCCACAACCGCTGAATTAAAAAGATTTCATTATAGTCTTTGCTTACTGTTTTTAAAGGACTCGCTACGTAGGGTCTTTTTTTCGGGCTTAACTTCTTGCGCAACACTCTTTCGTGACTGCTTGTTCATTTCTTTAAGGTATAATATGCGTCTTAGAAAGGTTTCTGTAGTTTAAGATAGATCCCAAATTGCAACTATTTCAGTAATATAATTTGAAAAAAATTAAATTGCCATTTTCAAGGTTATTCTTTTGAAGAATACACGATAAATAGAAAAAGTGAAATAATTATTAAACCTTAAATAAGTTTTTGTACAGTATTATTATTTTCTTTGATAATAACTAGATTTGTATAACAAAGAAATTAAGGGGGCAAAAAAAATATCCATTGCCAATATCCCCCCTTTATATAGTTAAACTTTATTTATTTGACTTTTGAAAGGCTAAAAGACTAATATTTTTGCTGATTATAATGTTAGGCTGTAAAATAATTTTATATTTTAATAAAAATAGTTTTCCACTCAGTCAACATTCCTCAAGTTTGACCGTAATATTTTTGATTTGTACAAATTATCTGAAATTTCTATGATTGCTTCTGTTCTAAGTCATTATTAAATAATTATTTTTTTTCCTTCATTTTTTAGTGCCCTAAACACATTTTTATTTTAAATTGTTTTCGTGCTACAATCGTAACCTTGTATTTTTTGGTAGTACTAATTCATGTTCCCGAGTTAGTTCCTCCCAATGACTCCACTGCAAAGGTGTTTAGGTGAATGCAGATAGTCGAAAAGGTTTTACCAAGCTACACCCAATGCAGGAAGGAAAAACAGTGCAATTTATATATATATAATAATCTTTCATCAAAAAAAACACCTCAATGCAACCTCTTAAACCTACCCAACTTCAATATGTTTTCCTCGTAAAAATATATAACTCTTAACATCTTCCTCTGTATTTTTTAGTATGGGAGGTTCTTAATGGAAGGCATCGTTGCGAAAAACCACGCCGCGCTCGTCAAAAGGCGTAGCAACGTGTTTTGTCTCACTTGAAGCAAAGAGACTATTGCTGGTGGGTCGTAAGACCAGGTATTAGATAGCGTAGGTCGTGATTGGCCTTATATAGAACATCTACAAGCGTCATTTGTTGTGCAACCAGAATTTGCTTCGAGCACAAAGAAAAGGGTAAAAAATTTGAACCTCCGCCTTGACCTTCACCATGGTATAATATGTGCGACTGCCAGTAATGCTTCACAAGGATCCAGGTATATCGCCTGAGAACATCAAGGTATTACCTTGGTTTGGAGGTCAGGGACGGGAATAGGGCAGTACACTTTTACCTAAGGGAAAAGGCTTTGCTCTATTCCGCGTTAATACTAATTTTTTAACGACGACACCATTGGCCAAGCGTCATTAGGTAGTGCTACAGGTGTTGGCGCGATAAGACAGGCGAATTTACTGAGGAGTAAAACATTGCATCATTAGCGTATGAGGTAATTCGGGTGTGAATGTCAGGCTGGGACAAGTCTCATTCATAAAGTGCAAAGGGTAGGGGTGATAGAAAAGATCCTTGTGACAATGTAGCTCTTAGTGGTCTTGATAGAGGGCGTCTCACTTCACACATGCGTCAAAAAACGCTATCTTTGGGTTTAGATTTGATCAAGTTAAAAAGAACAATAGGGAAAGTTATGGCACACAATTTGTGAAGCAAGTCCTTGTGCTAAATGGTCAAGCTTTTTCGACATAAAGAAAAGCGGTGCCTACTGTCTCCTTTAACTCTTCGTTAATGTTTTGGGGTATGAGGTACTCTAGTTTTGGTTCCTTGGTTTACCACATTTGATGCCCCCTGATGACTTGGGGTGTAAATGTTTCAGCTTAAATGTAAAAGTCCCTATTTACTGATAGAGGTGGAACACATACCAAAAAATTGAGAAATATATTTGCAAAATACTCGATTATAATAATGGTGCCATTATATTCCAGCACACTTGCGAAGGGTTAAATTAAAGACTCGGGTCGCCCACTCTCTCAGGTAAAGGAGCTGTTGAGTCGTGGTGTGCCCTTCTCTATTGAATCTCTGGCAGGACGTGGCTTGCGTCAAAAAATGCTTTTAAGCAGTGGAGTGTGCCTGCTTTTCTACTTTGCGTATGGCTGTCAAAAGGCTGATGGGCCTGTATTTTCTTGACATAGATACTGGTCTTGGCATCTCCGGGAGCATCACAACAGTGGCCGCTAAGCGCGATGGGGTATACAATTTTTTGTTTCAAGTAAAACCTCGTTATACAGAGTTTACTAGATTATATGTACACGTTATTTAAACTCTACACGGTGGGAAGAAGACAGCGCAATACTACTTATTAAACAGTACAGCGTCCTGCTCCTTGCCGCTTTAACCGTCATATTTCTTTAATTAAAGCGTAGATGCAAATAGCAACAATGAAGTGGAAAGTACCGCAATCGCATAGTGGCGACAGCGCAGTGATCATTTTAAGATTTTTCCGGCTTTGGCTTATAGACCCCCGTAATTTTCTTGTAACTATAGAAAATAATCCATTGCGGTCTTCTGCAAACTCCATTGTAAAGCGCAGCAAACAGCCTCGACAACTTTGTTAGATTTCCCACCACTCCAAATACTAAAAAAGGTAAGGGGTAGATTACTTTTTGGCGAGTCTGGTAATTTAATAAGTTTTAATTAACCGGCTAGAACAAGTCGCTCTGCAATATTTGCTGCCGGTGTGCTGTGGGTAGCGATGTCTTTAATGCTAGTGAAAACCGGACTACAACTACGCTGAGTTTGCGAGACATCTCGGGCAGCAGCCTTTGTTTTATTATCTCATTAGTGGAGAGCACTAGCCCTTTTTTCGCAGTTACTTTAAGTTATAGTTATTTCTATATATTTCATCTAATATACATGTATTGTGCTACTTAACAAAGTGAAGTAAATTATAAAACATGAAATATTGGAAATGTTAACTCTTATGCGAACATATTAAAGGTAAGCGATTAAGTGTTAGTGTTTAGCGCTGCTACGTAAATTTATAAAGCGGTCTCATGGCCCACTGAAGAACGAGTAGAAAGTACTGAACATGTTTTTAAATAGGGCACACCAACGCCGATATTATTTCATAGTATTTTAGAGGGGATTCCGATACTTAGACCAGTTGACAACCGCGTTGTTACATTATAAAGGATTGAGCCAAATCTATGCAATTTCCAGCACAGGAAGCTTCCTACCGTTAAGGCAATGTCTACTTGTTTCTCTTTTCCCTTAGAAAGGGTTGTACTCTCAACTTGGACTCAAGTACTACTACTGACTCTACTTGGAGTTACTCACTTCCGTGGACAAGATAAAGAAAGTATCAGCAAGTTTTTAAGATTAATACGAAAATTGTACTACATCAACCTGCGAAGGGGTAACTACACGACACCTTAAGCCTTCAAGCACTCCTGAAATTTGACACTAAAAATTCAGCAAGAATGCCATACAAGACCGCAATACGCGCACAGTTAGGCAGGCTTGCAAGAAAATAGACTACTCAAATACAGTTAGTCTGGGGGGTGGGGGGGAAGAAAAAACATGACGATAACTGGAGTTATAAATAGACTAACAAACTATTTATAAAAAGAGTTACCTTAAATTATTATGGATATCGATATACTATTTCTATAATTCGAATTGGCGTTCAGAACTTATTATGTTAGCTTCGCTCATTCCCACTTCACTTTATCGTGACTTAAAATTAGGTTATGCTAGAAAGCTATCAACGTTTTTAAACAAAATACTTAATATAGTACGAGAAAGCGAAGGAGCAAAGGGATGTCGATTAGTTAACCATAACCATACTTGGAGAGCAAGTTAGTTCGAAAATAATTGCTGCTAAATATAATTTATTAATTTTATGGTTGAACTCCAACTATCTACTGACTAGGATTATACTCTTTTATCATATCATGCTTAAACCTATAAGCTACATAAACAGAAATCTAAAAGTAAAAGTCTCCACTATACGTTTAAAAAAAAAAACTGTTTGAAATTGCTTACCGGTCCCGTTGTCTTTTTCCCCAAAGCTTGTCAAAAATTAATCGTTGATATTTACATATTTTTCCTAATGGACCAGCTTGTGGTCTCATTCTTTTTGTGCTGAAACCCCAGTAATAAGCTACACACTGCTTTAAAACTAGCTAGATTCACCCACCCTCATCAAGTTTTCAAGCTTAAATTAAATTTAATAAACTAACATCTCTAACACATATTTTGCATATTTTAGGTTTTATACAAATACAAAAAGTTCTTGATTAGATTAGCAACCATCTTAAAATTTAAAACTTAAAATCATAATTTAGAATTTCTTACTACGTTAATATTAATAATTACACAAGCTGGGCCTCCCTGGGCCCACAAGCGAAAAGTGATCAACAACCTAATAGTATAACCCTCCTTTAACGTGAGCACTTAGTTTGTTGTTAATAAATTACTCCGTGCCGCAATCATTTATGCTTTAAGAAAATGGTTCTCTTGAATGTCGTTTATGTTTTCATAGTTTCCTTTTTCTTTGGTTTGCTAATTACTTTGGAAGGATCAAGAGTGGTTGTTAACAGTCAACACACTAACAATTGGGCCGTCTTAGTTTGTAATAATAAATATTTCATTAACTCAAATTTACTCAGCTAAAAGTTTGCTATGTTAATTTTAAAAAATTTTAACTTTAATACTTAGATAACGATAATACTGCTGAAAGATAAAGTTCTAAATCTAATGTATTTAGGATATGTTATATCTTTATTAGGCACCTCAAGAAATTGGTTTAATTATCGCCATATTGCTAACACACTTGCTGTTTATAATACAGTAAAACGTTTAGGAATTCCGGATAGTAATATTATTTTGGTTACTTTTTACTTGTTATGCAGATCAATAGAAATAATTTCCTCAATTTTAATCTTTAGATGCTGTCTGATGAGATGGCTTGCCATCCCTGCAATCCATTTCCTGCCCAAGTTTTTCATTCAAAAAAAAGACTTAAAAATGTGTACGGAGAAGATATAGAGGTCGACTATAGAGGCGACGAAGTGACTGTTCCTAACTTTTTAAAGTCAAAAAAAAGTTTACTATATAATTGATAATTGATAAAGTCAGTTTTATAGTTTGCTGACTGGAAAATCACCCCGAGAACTGCCAATTTCCCAAAAGCTTTTGTCTGATGAAAATAGTAACATACTAATATACATATCTGGACACGGCGGAAATAATTTTCTCAAATTTCATGGTGCAGTTATGAATATTATTAATATTATTATAATTGATAATTAAAATTATCTGTATATACTGTAAGATAACGAAGATTTAACGAGTGAAGATCTTGCGCACAGCTTGGAGCAGATGCGCCAACAAAAGAGGTACGTTTAATAGTATTCCTCTTATTGTTTATAATTAACATTTTAATTATTATAGTTAGTAGTTTAGTCGTGTTTTACGTTATTTATAAGTGTCTTCAGTAATATATTTTTAATTTTGATAACTTTTGTCAAATTTAGTATATTATATTATTTTTATATATAAGTATGCTGCTATTTAAAAATTAAAAATAATTTTAGATTATTTTAATATCTTTTTTTAAACTTTCTTTTTCTTTGTGTGAGGATCTCTTATAAGTTTATTCCAATATTATATTCATTTTGGTTATAAAAACAAATTTATTATTATTTGAAAAAAAAAAATTTTTTTCTGGCCAATGCGCCTTCTGCTCTTCATTTGCCCGTCGTAAAACTCGGTCGGGTGTGAGGAGGCCTTTGGTAATTGGGCCTCAGCATGTCTCACTTCATCACATTTATTGCAGTGAAATTCTTTTAACTGTTCTGCTCAAAAATTTACTTCTTTTAGAATTACAAGGAAGAATTGTTTTTGCTAAGGACCCCAATCACCAACAAAGTCAAATGACGCAAGCCCCACTAACACGATAGCACCGAATTCGAAGGCAGCAGTGTGGTTGGCCTAAAGACTGGATTATAGCAGAAGGGCACGAATCATTTTTCGTGTTTTTCCTACGCAACAATGTTTATTAGAAACTTTTCAGTTTATTAACGATTTTTTTAACTTTGATTGGTTGGCAGGGTCGATGGTTTTTTTTATTGAACTTCACTTTAAAAATTTTTTATTATTCTTACTGATTCGAATCTTTTTATTTTTAGTGATTTAATTATATATTACTTTTAGTTCATTTTTAAGTTTCGACTAAAATTTTATATACTTAATAGTTTTATGTATTTTTTTTCTTTAAATTTATTAAAGTATTTTTATAGTTTACTTAATGCGTTTTTTCTTACAAATTTTATCTAATACTTCTAATATTTATTTAATAGTAATCAAAGCTTTTTATTAAAATTTATATTTAATTTTTTAAAAACAATAAAACACACACCTCACTTATTTTTGTTTTATTTTTTGATACTGAATTTTCAAACGATATATATAAGCTGTTTGCTTCGTTTTATGGGATTCGTCATTTTTTTTAGTATAAGTTTTATTTTTGTTAAATAAACATTATATTATTTACTTTTTTGACTAAATTATTTATACTTTTTGATAACTTTAATTTTATATGATTTTATATATAACAATATTTATTTGTAGATAAGAAGCCGTGAATTTTTATTATAATTACCATAAAAGTAATTTTTTTTATAAAAAACTATAAATAAACTTTTTATTATGTTAAAAAAATATTATTTATTAATAAGATTCTTCTTATCAAGACTTTGTCATATTTACTGATCACTATATCCAATCATATAGTATATAAAAGTTTTTTACATATAATAAAAGTAAAATTTTAAATCTTTTATATTATTTATTTTAACTTTTTTTAAATTTCTTTTGTATATTTTTCGATATGACTAAACCTTTTACTTACTATTATTAGATTTGCTTAATTATTTTTAAATATATATAATTTATTCATACTAATCCTCAAAGCCATCCTATTTAAATACTGTATCTTCACATTTTTATATTACGCATATTATTTTTTTAAACTTTACATTCCTTAAAGTTGCTTAATATATTATATATTATTATAATAATAAATAATAACAACCAGATATAACGAAATATTAATTTTATTGGACACCTGCGAAGCCATGACGCTTTTTAGGAACATTTACTCGCCACAGGTTCTGGTCGCTGGAAGTTCGCATCATAGTGAGAGCGCGTGGTCGGTTCGTTATTATTTTTATTATTGTTACTATTATTATTATTATTACTATAGCATCATCGCGATAAAGATATTGGAGTTGAAGTGATTGATCGTTTTACTTATTATCTTATAAAAACTCTTGATCGGCATGACGCAGATTCTACACTGACTTTGGAAGAATTAGTAACTCTTTAATAAATATTACAAAGTATAATAATAAAATGTATCAATTCTTTATAATAAATATTTATAAGTAAAGAAAAAAAAGATCTTTAATTAAGTAAATTTTTTAAAAAGAAAAACAAAAAGATAACATTAAAAGGTTATAAAAAGTAATAATTTTTTCACTAGAACCATTTTAAAAGAAAACTAATATTACGATAAAAAATATTACATATAATTTTTATTATTATTAATATTTTATTTTTTATATAAGCATATCAAATATTATTATTTGTAAAAAGTTCATTCTATAATAATCTTAAGTTACGTATTGAAATATTTCATTTTATAATAAATATTATATCATTATTAGTTTCAAGTATTCCATAAAGACAAACTTCTTTCTCGTTTTGGAGTGGACAGTTCACTTTTCTATCGAAAATTAAAGGAGGTTTTAATATTTTATTAGTTATTTTTATTTTTTATTTCTCTTAAATAAAAAATCTTTTTTAATTTCTTCAATTTCTATATACTATCAAATACTTATTATTAGGTGCCCGTTATGGACTTCTTTGCTAAGAAAACTGCTGTTAAACCTTTTGATCAAATTATAACTTCCACTTTTACCAATTTTCCAGTGTCTTCTGTTAAAATTATGAACAAATCAAAAAATACTTTAAAATTTCTGGAAAGCAATTATAATGCTAAGGAAGATAAGTTTATTCCCAGAAAAACTATCACACAAGTTATTAATAAATTAAATTTTGAAAATAATAAATATATTAAAAGTAAAAAAGAGATGGAGATTAAATTTACAGCACAAGTACTAGTAGGTTTACTGGCTTTACTGGTTGTAAAAATAATTACAATATAAAAAGTATAATTGAAAAATAAAAAAAAGTTATCGTTTTATTTGGTTTTTTTTTAAATTCAATTCTGCATTTTAATTTATAAAACCTGAACTCAATTAGAAGAAAACTTTTTTAATAAAGTCATTTAATGACAAAAAAGGGTCTGAGAAAGGTCTTTCATGATAGCAGAGATGAATTATATGACTATTACAAGTCTCAAGTACTGTAAAACAATATATTATACACTATAGGAAATATAATATGGTATAGTAGTTTACAGTATACTATAAAATTTATAACTTGTTTATTAAAATTTAACATAAGTAAGAAGCCTACAATTTGAAAAAGAATAAAAGAGCGTTCATTTTTAAAGCTTTGGAACCTCGCGTAATAACTTATTCAATTTTTTGGCTGTTGAATTGCTTTGTGAAGAATATTTTGTATTCTATTAAGTTACTACTGATTTTGGGTTAGATGGCAAATTCAAACACTGTTTTACGCATGCTACTCGCCAACTCCAATCGACAACAATTATTTCAGGAAGGAATTGTTGCTAGTTAATATATCTTTTTTATCATGGTTACTATTATTATTATACTTATTAAAGTTTTTAAAAATGTTACGATGTTACAATTTATTTAATTTAGAGAGCCCGAAAAAATAGAGATTTTTTTAATTATAAAAGAAGTATTAAAAAAGATATTTAGGGGGTTCTTTGTTAATTAGTGTATTTCACATAAATTAGTCTTTCAATAAGCCAAGTGTTGAGGCAGTGTCCCGTTTATTTTACTATTCATGCAGGACAAATTAAATGCCAAGGTATTTTGCTGCTTTATTACAACCATAGTTATTGCAGTCACTGAATTATTCTACTAATTAAAACCCATCTAGATTGCAAAAGGATTTCTAATCATTGGATAGGTATCATTACATATATACTTCAAAGAATTTTCGCATATAGCTAATTCTTTGGTAAAAAGTGAATGAGAACTGATTAGTATGCCTAATGGCTTGAATTATAGCGAACCTTCTCCAATCGCTCGCCGGGTACCTTAACACGTTAACTTAGCGCCTAGCTTTGTTTGAGGCAAATCACTGGAGTCAGATTTAGTAGTTAAATTTTAATTATTTCCCTAACTGTTCTTCATAAAACAGGGTTATTTCTGCTTCGGTAGGACACCTTAGCCACCGCCTAATTTAGCACATAACCTAGATTTATCGGCTGATGTTATCGATTTACTTAAGCCAACATCGTTAGAAGATCTTTTCAGATTATTTCTACGCCTAACTACCAACATAAGATGGCTATTATCTTTCCAAGTCTGACTAAAATGCCTAAGTAGTATGAAAGAAAATAAACGGTTTAAATATTAGCATTTCATTTGAACTAGTCGTCATTTACTTCAGATATTCTTATAACCCCTTCAACTTCAAAGACTAGGGACATAATTTATTATTTATATTTTTAAATAACATTACTTCTTAAAGGTTGCTCATCGAAACATTTAAAATTTTATGCTCTTTGCGCGGTATGCTAAAATAACCAGTTCGTAAGAATACGCTAGCTATTACTTAGAACTTTTCAGTTCATAATAAAAATTATAAAGAATTTACTTAATTTATTTTTACCGATACTTAAATGAACCGCATTTAAATTTTTAGAATGAAGTAAATTTTGTAATAGAAATGTATCTCCTTACATAGAGAATATTACTTATAGAAAACATTACGCGCTCTGCTCAATCCTAGCTCAATGATTAACTACAAACATAACATCGTTTAGACTAGTATTATTATACTTAACTAAAATTAAAAACTCAATTACAAAATATTTATATTTAAAAACACGTGGGCCCTTTAAAAGGTTTAAGCCTTAAAAAAGAACAAAATTATGACATCTGTCTTGCCATTTACTAGGTATTTGAGTAAACTCTTAAAAAGCCCTTAAGAAATATTTCTTTATATATTTCGAAATTACAAACCACATTTACTTTAAACGTCTAATTAAAAAAAAATGGTACGTTAAGCAAGCAAAATAAGAATTCAGCTTGCACGGCTAAATTGATGCCAACTGCCTTTTTTATTCATGCGTCCCCAGTATTTAGGAAAAAAAAATACTAGCACGCGTTAAAATAACGATTGTGGAAGTTAAATGTACTTAGATGGTTACTTTTTGTGGTATGGTACGGTAAGGTATGTTTATCAATGTTTATTAATCAACAATAATTAATACTGTTACTTTTCATTGGTAACTTGTTTGTTACCCAATTTATTTCTTAACCAATTTAGTTGTTAAAATTAGTTAAGTACATGCAACCATTATTGATTGGATAATAAGACATGAATAGTTTAGCATAGATGCTTATAACCAGAAAAGGAATAAAAGTTATTTAAGTGGTCCTAACAGTGAGCCTTCGCTTACTCCTTCTTGGTGCTTTGCCTGCCACGTAGATTTCAAAATAAAGTCGGGATCACATCATAACATAAGTAACTATTATTTAGTGTCAACCCTAGATTTCACTTGTCACTCATAAATTTTTTGCAGGAGTTTGCTTGTTAAAAATTAAACAGAAGTATTCCTTGCAGTTCTACTTATAAACTTTAAAAATATATAGAGGTAAAGTTGCCATTTTCACTGACAGTAGCCTAAATGTCAAGTAAGTGATTCAGTAACTTCCTTTACTATTTTCCTTTTTTTACGTATTATAAGCTTTACATCTTTAATCATTACTATAGAAAATTACTACTTGGCAAGCAGCTATATAAATAGAATTTTTTTTTAAACTAAACTTAAATTTAGAAATTTTTTTAAACTTGATTCAATTCTTATTTCTTGTAAATTTTTTTTAGTAACTTATTCTATCTTTAAGCTGCTTTAAAGACCCCGCCGGTGAGGGGAAGAGCTCCTCCACCGAGAGCAGCACCCCCGCCCCAGTTTGGAGGGAAGCCACCCGTTCCAAGACGGGCGCCCCCGCCCTCACGTGCTATTCCGCCAACTCCTACCCGAGGGCCTATACCTTCCTTCGGTATTATTATTATTATTATTATTATTATTATTATTATTATTATTATTATTATTATTATTATTATTCTGTTACTTATTACTATTATTATTAGTGCCCACCGGCGCACCGCACGTAATCAAAGAAACTCCTTTTGCTAATACAAATTATATGAATGCTGCTTCTGCAGGTTATTATTATAGTTATTACACGAATGAGTTAAAGTTGTCTTTTTTTTTCAATATTTATAACTATATATAATAGTATGTATATTATGTATATTAAAATGTTTATACAGGCAAACTTGCTGTTCATCAGAAGCACTTGACCGCTGACGTAGCCAAAAAAGGTTATTATATATATAGTCCTAATGATAATAATAATAATAATAATAATAATAATAATAATAATAATAATAATAATAATAATAATAATAATAGTAATAATAATAATAATTATAAAATACTTAAAGGCGAAGAAGAGTTGGACACCACGTTTCGAGTTGGCTTAGCGAAAGGAGCTGTGGATGATATGGTTTTAAACTTAATATATATATATTATAATTATTATAATTATAAAAAAGTTTTCATTTTTTTCTAATTATATTTGTTGCGGCGACTTTTATTTCTCTATTAATTATAATTACATAAACTTTACTAAATCCAACAAATACTTTTACTTCTACATGCATATAACTAAAAGCCTTATAAAATAACTCCATTTACCACGATAAATTGGTAGACTTTTTAGCATCAAGTAGTTGCTGTTTAAAGCATTTTGGCATTAAACTAAACTTTTTAGGTTCTTCTTTCTGACGTGACGAATCCCGGAATTGTTAGAAACCTTCTTGAACGTTATAATGAAGATAAAATATACACTTACATTGGACCGGTATATTTTTTCTTATTGATTTCTAATAAAGAACGAATAATATTAATAATAATAAGTTTTCCAAGACTGCATAAATACGAGAAAATAACGATAATACTAAAGTAAAAAAAAATTTTAGTAATAATCAACCTTATTTGGGAAAGTATTCACTGTTTATAAACTTAGTACGCATGTATAAAAAATTAATATGTTCAATGAACACCACTTACAAGCCACTCCTCCCTCTAAGTATCTCTTAAAAAATACTATGAAATAACAAATCGTAAAGTTAAGCTTCTAGGTATTATAACAGTTATTTTTTTGTTTACGGTTATAAGTTTGCTTTGGTTGTGCAAGAGTTATTTAAACTTAAACTCATTCTGTTTTATAGATTTATGGGCTTCTGCTTATGTTGTTCTTAACAATAATTTGAAACTATTGTAATAATAAAACGTCGTGAGATTTGTTTAGAAATGTGACTTCTTACACAATTTTGGTGGTGAAAAAATGATTAAAAAAAAATTAAGGGCACCAGTAAAAATATGAAAATGATGAGATTAATTAAAAGTGAGATTAGGTCATTAATTAAGTCTTTTTTTAGCAATGAAACATAGTAATTAGTTTAGAAAAAGCTTTTCGCGCACAACAATAAGGTTTTTTTATGCATACTTTGTAGGTATTAATTTCTGTGAATCCTTTTAAACGTATGTCCGACGTCGGCCCCGAATTTATTAAGAAGTATGCAGGTGAGCATAATCGCATATAGTATTTAATATGCACTTCCACGTCATTGCGACTTTTAAGATCACTTTTTTATATTAAAGTTTCTGGTTTTTTTCTTAGGGATTAGCAAACACGATGCGCCGCCCCACGCCTATGCCGTGGCGGACCACATGTACCGCCGTTTGATAGAGGATCAGTACAGCCAGTGCGTTATAATTTCCGGGTAAGTGTTTCTTTCAAAATAGAGAAGTGCGCGATAATACACTTAATAATAAAGGCAGCTTTCGGTTGAACCTCTTTTTCGTTTTTAAGCTCGCCAATTGCTCATCTCCACTATATGTTTTTGTGGGCTTTAGAATAGTATAAATTGACAATGAAGATACGAACTACTTGATTGTCAATTGATAGTATGAAATAGATAAATAACAAATTCAAAAAAGAATAAAAATTTTTTATCATACAATATTGAGAGCCATAAATAATTAATAACCAAAAATAAGATTACTTTAAGATGTTGTATGGTTATTTTGAAGTTATAAATTTCTTGCTTTTATTCAGATAGGTATAGTTTCGTATGCATTAGACTAAAATAAATTATTATTGGCAACTGTAATGACTACGTTAAGGTTTTTAGTGGGTTTTAGTTTATAAAAAAAATATTGCAACCTAGACTTGGTTATACTGTATATTACAGTTAATTTAAGCTCTAACTAATTTAATTTTTTTACTTATTTTATAAAGTTATACTCACCAAAAGTGTATAATATCCGCAAAGACTAATAAAACTATTTTACTACCTGCTGTCTCTTTTTGCCTAGCGAATCGGGTGCAGGAAAAACAGAAGCCTCCAAATTGATAATGAACCATATCGCCGCTTGCTCGGGGGGAGGTCAAGAAGTCAGTAGGGTATGTACAGTAAAAATTTTGGACTCGTTCCATTGTAGCACATGTTAAAATTATTACCTATTTACGGGAAATATTTTCCCTACATTTCAATATTTAACCTATAAATTGTCATATTAAAGTCGTGCCCAGTTATTAGTTATATTGCTTGATAACGAAGAGTTCTTTTCCGGACCATTTATATATATACAGATAAAAAGCGTTATACTGGAGTCAAACCCTCTTCTTGAAGCCTTTGGAAATGCAAAAACAATAAGAAATAATAACAGTTCTCGCTTTGGTTAGCTTCTAAACATTTTCTAACACGAGAATTTACTAAATGATTTTATAAATTATAGGAAAACTGCTGGAGATCCAGTTTGACAGAGCAGGCCGTCCGTGTGGAGGTCACCAATATATATGTATACTTGTAGTAAAAATTAATATTTTTTTAAAGGGATTATCACCAACTTTCTTTTGGAAAAATCTCGTGTCGTTGGTCAATTAAAGAATGAGAGAAATTTTCATATATTTTATCAAATTCTCTGTGGTCTTTCCCCTGACGATAAAACTAATTTGGGTATATATTACAATAATTACATTTGAAGCTCTCTTTACTACAGTTAAGCCCTCATTCACAGCGTGTTTAGTAATTTACAGCTTTTATATTTTATATATTTTTTCTCACTAAAAAAGAGTATCGGATAGAAATTGATATTACACTTAATGGAAGTGTTTCATACTTATTATAGTTTAAAAAAATTTACAGCCAAGATATTCTTACTTTCACATCTACTTCCTGATGCTCTTCGATTTACTATTAATCTTATATTATAAACCGGTAGATGACTGGCGTTTTATATCAGCTCACTTTTAATAGAAAATTACACTTGTTTTAACTTCGAAATTTTTGGGAGTTAAACAAAGTTTTTGTTTTTTTTTAAAACTGTGCTTGAGTGACATCTTTCTAAGCATCACTAACTAATCCAGTACAGCGTGCATAATTATTATAATTTAACAAAAATAAAGTTGATACACCTCTTCCTAAGACGGTTTACTCCAAAATATAAAAACTTCAACTTAGCTTATCAGCAACTTTTTTTTAGGATTAACCACTCCAGAAGACTTTTTTGTCTTAAACAAAACGGGTTGTTATACCGTTGAGGGAGTGGATGATGCTGCGGAGTGCGCTGATACCTTGAATGCTATGAACGTTGTTGGGCTTACATCTGCTGAACAGCAATCGATATTTCTACTTCTAGCTGCTATTCTTCATTTGGTGCGATTTATCTCGTAATGTTTCAAAATGAACTTTAATACTTGTAAATATAGTGTTAGGCTATTGAATTTTTTTAATAAACCTGATGAAAGTCTATAAATTTTCTGATTATAGATCAAAAATTTTATGATTTTTTGAAACATAAATTAATTAATTACTTTTACACGTTTTTAGGGCAATGTACAGTTTCATGAAGTACAAAATAACGCCTCCGCCGTTTCTAACCAGGACTATCTAGACTACGCTGCCATGATTTTGGGCATAGATAACGCTCAACTAAGTGCTTTAACTATTTTATATGTTATTTAAATAATTTTCTTTCTATTATATCTAACAATTTTATTTAATTAAAGTAGTATATTTTTTATAAAATAAGCTTTTTACTAACTAGCTACTTAGCATTAGGTCTTTATTGTTTAAAAAAGTAAATAATAGCTGTCAGCAAGTTAAGAATGGTGTATTTTTCTTTTTTATTACAAGGTCATTGCAATACCCTTTGCGCTAGCTGAAAGACCTGTTAACCTTAGTACTTCCATTTTTAAGGCGTTGTTGAAGTTTTAATTTAACTATGTCATATCTGGTCATCATCATTAAATATACTATATTAATATTTATGAGAGATTGCGCCTATTCACTAAAGCTTTTTTCATTCACATTTACCTCACTATAATAATAATTTTAGTAAGTTCCCCCTCTTAAGTTTTTAAATTAATTTTTGATATTATTATACTAAAAATGCTTCTAAGAGGAGAAAGTATGCGTATAGGACCGTGTGCAATGTCTTAGATGAGCGATATGGTAAATGAAAAGATAGTGATGCTGTTAAGGCTATAATTACCGTTAATTAGCCCTATTAAAAGATATGACTAGTTCGCTTTGCATTTGTTTTTATCGTAAACATTGCTATAATGTATTGAAAATACAAGAAAAAGTTAATGGCAATAAATGCAAATAAATAACTTACTTGCTCTGTAACACTTTCATGATGATCGCTTTAACTTTATTAATTTATAAAACTACTGGTATTGTTATTATTTATAATACTTCCTTATTACTTTAATAAATTTAAATAAAAGTTTGGAGCAAAATGCTATTAGTGTACAGTAATAATAATATTAATATTTATAACTTTATCCATTAATGTAGAAAGCTTCTTTTATTACAGACCTTTAGTATAATCCTTACTCTTATTAAATCATAAATCGACAGTGATATCGCTAATCTTATGAAACAAATAAGTTTAAGGTTGTGTTTCTAGCACTAAAAATTAAAATTTGCATATTTCACAATGAGTCTTATAAAAACTTAAAATTTTTTGCTTTAAATATTAAATATTAATTTATTTAAGCCACAAAGCTTCTCTCAAGAACTGTAAAAAGCGGGGGTGGCCACAGAGGATCGGTATACGAGGTGCCCCTCTCAGCTATCAAGGTGCCTCCTTTTTTTTTTCTTGCTTTTCCTCCATTCCTTAAGTAACCACTTGCCCTCGCGGAATAAGGCTGCTGCAGCACGTGATGCTCTTATGAAAGGGATATACTCGCGAATTTTTGATTATATTGTTGAAGCTGTGAATAAGGCCATGACCAATGTTTCTTGTAAACGGCTATCTTTATTTCATTAGTTATCCTATACAATATTTATATGTATTATTAAAGCCAGACAATCGATATGCATATTGGATATATACGGCTTTGAAATATTTGAGAAAAACGGTTTTGAGCAGTTTTGTATCAACTATGTGAACGAAAAACTTCAGCAAATCTTTATTGAGTTAACTATACAGAGTGAACAGGAGGACTACGAGCGTGAAGGTACTCTGATATTTCATATTTTCAAGTTGTTTATCATATTTTTTAAACTATTTTATATTTATTTAAAAGGAATTCAATGGACAAAAATAAACTTTTTTAATAATAAAACTGTTTGTGATCTTATAGAGAGCCGGAAAGCACCAGTCGGTTCGCTCATTGCTAATAGCATTGTTATTACTTTTATTATATGAAAATATTAAAATTAGGGATATTAAGTATTCTTGATGATGTTTGTAAAACGATGCATAATGAAGGAGAAGGCGTGGACCTAAAATTTCTTCAGAAGTTGAACAGTATTAGCCACGCTCACTTCTCTCCTGGTTGCTGTTATTAATATCATTATCATCATTATAATTATTTATCATTAATTTGGAAGGAACGAATACTTTTCGTATTAAGCATTACGCTGGAGACGTTAATTATCATTGCGAAGGTTTTGTTGAGAAGAATAAAGACGTTTTGTTTAAAGACCTCGTGCGAATCATACAAAATTCCAAAGTTCCCTTCCTTGCAATGGTTCTTTGTTTCTGTATAGTTTTTTACTTTGTTTTCCTCTTATATAAAAACTTCGGGATTATTACATGTCGTGTTATTTTTTTTAATTTTTATACTACTACTAAACTAATCTACTGATTTCATTAAAGTTATTCTTTTTCGGATACAAATGTACACATAAGTAATAAAATAGGCCTTTATAATTCCAAAAATTATTTATTTTTTATAGTTACGAGCTTTATGGTCAATTTTATGGGCTTATTTATAAGAATTGCCATATTAATTATATATCGGTCACATTTTATTATAATTTTTAACTTTAGTTAAGTTCACACTTTAAAGGGAAATACTCCACTGTTTCTTTTAAGCTTTTAAAACTCCCAAATTAACAGTAGTGTTTTTCGGGGCTGTATTTAAATGTTTACATATTATTTCTAAATAGCTACTTTTTGTTTTATTAAATAAGGTTTCCTTTCGCTTATAATTCAATTAAATCTTGTAATTTTATTTTATCCTAATTAATTTTAAAGTGCCCATATACTGTTAATAATAAATTTTCATAATATACTTTTAATAAGTAAAAGTTTTATTAAACAATTAGATTTTTTGTTTATAAAAGTTTTATTACAAATGAAGATTTATACTAACTTTTAACCATTACATACTTAATTGTAACACTTACTTTTTACTCTTAAATATTTTAATATATATTTTTTAAGATATAACTTTACCATTTAGTATAATAGTTTAAAATATTTATTATAAATGTATTGTTTGGACTAATTCAAGACTTTCACTTTACATATATTATTCTTATTCACAAGTTTACTTTGTATTATTATTAATATTATAAGTATATTATTACAGTACACCATAATTATATATAAAAGTTGAAATTTCCTTTTTTACAAAATATCATGAAATTTTTTATACTGCATTTTACTTTGTTTACCATTATATAGAGTACCATCTTTATATTATTATTTTATAGTTATTATAGTTTCATTTTCATATAAAAATTCTTTTTAATATAACAGTTATTTGAAAATGAAGACGTCTCAGAAGATTCAAGAAAGGCTCCCACAACGGCCGGTTTTCACTATTAACATTATCATAATTGTTATTATAATTATTACTCTCATTATTATATTTATTGCTTATTAGGATTTAAAATCTACACGCAAGCGCAATCGCTCGTAAGTAAACTGAAATCCTGCGATCCTTCTTATATTCGTTGCATCAAACCTAACGACAACAAACGAGCCAATGACTTCGACGAAAAACGGGTGGAATTCCAAGTGAAATATTTGGGTATATATTAGGAACTAACTTTTTTCTTTCTGGGGTCGAAATAAATATTAAAGTTTGGTGTATTATTGGTTAGGTGTGTTGTGAGTTTGGATAGCCTGTAGTTATTATGGTACTTGGGTTTTGTAATGTATTATTTAGTAATAATTATAATCTTTTTATATTAATAATATTATTACTGTAATTTATATTGTTGTAATAAAGGATTACTGGAAAATATAAAAGTGCGACGAGCTGGCTTCTCATATCGTGGCGTATATAAACGTTTTATCGATCGTTACGGTAATCTTTTTTGTGTGCCGGGGTTTGTCTTCGTGTTATAGTTACTTTGTTCCACTTGTAGCAATTTGCAACGTTCATACGAGAAATTGGAAGGGTGATCCTCGGAAAGGTTTGTATATCCGCATGACTTGAAAATGTTTTTGGGTCGATTTTAAGGTTAATTGCTCTTATTATGTCATAAGGGTCCGAACTACTTCTGCAAAATCTTAGACTTCCGCCAGATGAGTATAGGCACGTGCTCTTTGGTTTGTTTTTACCTTGCGAGCTTATTGGTCGTTCAGGTTTGGAAAGACCAAAATTTTTTTAAGAGCCCCGGAAACTTTGTTCGGATTGGACGATCTTCGCGATCGAACCATCAATCACTACGCTGGGAAAATTCAGCGCTTTTATGAGAGTATTGTTCGCTACTAAATGACAAATAGGCAGTATTTAGAATGGTAATTAGTAAAAACTAACGACTTGACTGACTTTTTTTTTAATTCAAGGACATAATCCGGAACGACGCAGGATAATTGAAGAGCGCGTCTATTGGTTCCAGCAAATGTACAATTTATTTTGTAACGCGGCAAGCACGAGTGATTTTGGTATATTATCTTTTATTTGCTGTTAGTTTGATAGCTTGGTGAGTTTAATTTTTACGTGAATTTATTCTTTAATAATTTCTTAAAGTTTTTTATAAAGTTAATTAGTTTATTCTTTACGAAATTATTTATAATCTTCTTTTCCCTTTACTTAATAATTATTTACACTATTAATATAATTGATTAATTAATTTATTACTAATTATAGTTCATTTTATTGGTAATTATTGTGTTAAATAAATAATTTATTTGCTATTTTTTAATACTTTTACTCTTATTATAGTTGATTTTTAATTTATGTTTTTAAATGTCCAAATCTAAATGTACTTTTTTTAAGAGTTTTACGCATTGATTGGCTAATTATTTGATTTAGTTATTGGATATAAAATTTTAGTAATCGCTATTAGTTTTTTTGATTTAATTTATTTTTTATATCTTACACAATTTTTTTAAATACTAAAAGAAAATTCATGTTTTACTTAATTATTAAGTAAAATTACTTATTATTAAGGGAAATCGCTCCCATGGCCTTCCTATCAGTGGCACTTGGAAGAGGCTGTTAACTGGTTATATGATTATTACTATTATTAATATTAACAATTTAGTAGTAAAATCGTTCTACTTTATAATACCTTTTTATAATTTTTTTTCCTATAGGTATCGTACAATATTCTATTATTATTTTATTATTATTTAATATTAATATTATTTGGTTTTCTTAAAAACTTATATTTATATATAGCCCTTTTTAATTTATTTATAAACTTTTATATATTTTCTTGATTACTATTATGTTTGATATTTTTATTATTTTTATTATTTTAGTATTCAAGAGTTGATGATTACTTTCTTATATTAATTATTTTATATTACATTATTACTATTAAATTAATGTCATTGTTATTCGTATTTTTCTTATTGTAAAGTAATTATATTATATTCATTATTCTTTTAAATAATTGTTATTATTTTATAACTTTTTTTGTTCGTCATTATTATTATTATTACTATTTCAAGAAATTCTATAGTATATTTTTTTTGTTAAAACTTTTTATTGATATATATTTTAACTTACTAATAGTATATATTTTATTATATACTTTTTTTATTAATATATTTTGGAAAGTTTTTTAAAAGTATATTACGTATACTGAAAATTTTTACATTTATTTATTATAAAGTTTTTAAAATATATTTTTAATTGTTCTAAATATAATGATGAAGCTCCAAATTTATGTACTTATTATTATTATTATAATTAATAGTTTATAAATTTTTTTTATTGATTACTATACTTCCTTAATACTTTATATTTTTTATATTTATTTACATTATTTTTTTAATTTTTATATATGAAAAAAAAAAACTTTTTTATGATTATCATTATTTAAAAAACGTTTCTTATTATATTAAAAAAAAATTATTATTAATATTTTATTTATAAAAGGTTTTTATCTAAGTATATATTTTTCAAGTTTTTATATTTATTTATTATACTTTAATATATAATAAACATTTTTTATAGAAGTTAATAAATCTACTTTTTTATTTTTAAAAAAGTCTTTTTAAATATTATTATTTTAAAGAGATGAATGTATGTTTATCAAGTTTTTTACAATTTTTTATCATAGATTTATATACTTCTGTTAAGTTTTAGTTAATATAATTAATTATAATATATATAATTTCTTATCAAAATATATATAATATATTTTTAAAGTTTTTTTATTGTTAGTATTATTTTTAGGTATTTCATAGTTATTATTATTATAAGCTTAGTTTTCTTAAATTTATATATATATTTATAATAGTTTTTTATTTATAACTTAGGGCGTTTCAAATATATCGCAATTGGTGGGCTTTTCTAATGGTCTCCTCACTCAACGCTGAACAGCAGCAACAAATGCGCCAAAAAATAGTATCCTACGATATTTTTTACGGGAAAAAAAAGTTTTTATTTGTTTATTTATTATTTTTTTTTACTTAATAAACTTTTTAAAGTTTTATATTAAAATTTATATTTTTTTGTGTCCTTTATATTATATTTTATTATACTTATAAAAAAAAATTATTATAAACCAATACTTTATTAATTTATTATGAACTTTTAATTTATAATATTAAACTTAAATTTAAAAAATTATATTTATATTTATTTTCATTTATGTTTACTATTATAAAAGTATTCTTATTTTTAATTTGTATTATATATTTATTTCAATAATAAAATTGAAAGAGTATGTTAAGCAAATATATTTCACAAAAAAATAATATAAAAATGAAAATACTAATAAATTTATAATAAATACTTCTTAACTTTATAATAATATTATATACAAAAGTTAAAGAGTTCAATTGTTAATGTTTAAAAAAAAAAATTTATTAACATTTTAATTTTTTTTAACGAAAAGTATTTATTTTTTGTATAAACATTTATAATTAAAATTTGTTTATATTTTTTTATTATAAAATAAATAATTTTTCTTTATTAACAAGATATATTATCTACTTTATATTTTCTACTTTTATTTAAAATATATTTTTCGGTATTCAAATTAGTATTTGTTTCCATATTTTATTTATATTATAGATAAATGTTTATAGTACTTTATAATAGTAACTTTTCGAAGACTTTTTCTAAAGTTTGTTTTCTTATTTTGTATAATATCAAGTTTTTTTACTTACAATTTATTATGTATTAACTTTATTACTTATAATAATTATATTTATTTTTAATTATATAATATTATATATTCTATTTTTAATTTTTTTATTTATTATATCTAAAATTTATTTATAAAGTTTATTATTAATATTATTTTTTATGTTAACTTTTATTAATATTTATATATTTTTCATATTTATTTTACTTTTATTTATTGTTTTAAATTTTATTTAAAGAAATTATATTAATTTATGAAAATAATAGAAAAAAATTAAAGTTTTCTTTACTATAAAATAATTTCTCATGCGCAGGTGGCCATGCAATCGCGTTTACTACGGAAACTATTTGGCGCTGGACCAGTTTTACTCTGAATCTGCCGCCTATAGACAAGCAGAACTCGAACTTTTGAGAAATTCAGGAGAAAAGTGTGTTATTTTTTCGGATGTCGTGCAGAAAGTGAACAAAGTGAGTAGATTATATTATAATTATTATAATAATTATAATAACCGTGAAGACTATAAAATATATAATGGGGAGCAATAAAGAACCTCGGGGCCCAAGTAAACATATATTTGACGCAAATTCTATGGGCCGATTTATTGTTATAAAACCTTTTGAGCGGCAATAAGTTAAATAATAAATTCAATTCGTTTCAAATTGTAGCAGATAAGAATGCTAGTAAAATAAGTATTACAAAATCTATAGAGGAGATCAAATAGGGACATCTGGTCCTAGTAAGCATCATTTTGAGGAGGATTACAGTTAATGGATCGCTTATTACTATAAAATTCATTTGGCAGCAATAAGTTTCATTTAATTCTATTTTTAGTCAAATTGTTTATAATTGTAGCAATAAATAATTATTATAAATATTAATTAAAGACAGGAAAATCCCAGAATCGAGCATTTATTGTAACTGCAGACCACTTTTATAAGTATACTATCGGTCCGTTATTATTATTATTATTATTATTATTATTATTATTATTATTATTATTATTATTATTATTATTATTATTATAAATACCTCAATAAACTTTTATAGGAAAAAAAATGAAAATACTAAAGAAACCAATTTCTATAAGTGCAGTGAATAAAGTTTCGCTTTCTCCTTTTGATGGTTTATTATTATTATTATTATTGTTGTTTAATATTCTTGTATTTATATTTTTTTAATGTGCAGATACTTTTATTGTTATTCATATGAACGCCCCTGAGCGGGACTTGTGTTTCGATCTGAATGTCGATAAAAATAATAAAGTAACTTTTGTTTTTATTAATATATTTTATATTCTTTTAGAGTTTACTAGTTATTATTTTTACTTTTATTTTTATATTATAATTATTTTTATAATTTTAAAATTTACTTACAATTATTACTTATTTTAGAAAAATTTTAATTAATTTTACTATCTGTTTTATTATTTTTTAAATTTTACTCACTTTTAAATTAATTATTGAAATTTTTATTTTAGATGATTTCTCTTTAAATATTATTTTTAAAGCTTATATTAATTATTTATCAATATATTTACAAATATTTTACAAAGTATTATTGTTGGTGTTAAATTAAAAGTTAAACATTTATAATAATTCTACTAAATTTAAAATTTTATTGCAACTTCTTACTTTTTATGAAAAGTAAATCTTCCGGTTATTAAATTCTTTTTTTACGAAAAAATAAATAAAATTTTGTAAAACTAATTTTCTACTACAAATCGTTTTTATGTGTAAAAAAAATTAGAAATTAAATTAATTAAATTTTATATATTTGTAAACTTGTAAGATTTAATTTATTGATAATATTTTTTAAGTTTTATGACTTAATTTATAGATTTATTACAAATTTTTATTAATATTAATTAATATATAATTTTTTGTTATTATTAATAATGATATATAAAAGTAAACTACAATATTTATTTTTTTTTATTCTAAATGTATTTGTGTAATAAAGCTAAAAATTAAAGTATTAAATCTTTGTATTTTATAAACTTTTATGGCTAAATAGATATTAACTATTACGAAACATTTCATTTATAAAAACTATTATCTATATATATAAAAAAACTAAAGCATTGAAATTTTTTAATCCTATTTGTTTTTATACAATAAAATAAAAATAAAATTTTTTAAATTTTAATTATAATAAATAATTTAGGTCGCTGAATTTGTCACGATGCTGTATCAGTCGTACTTTGTTATAAATAATAAACCGCTTCCTGTGGAGTTCAAAAGTTCAATTAAGTTTTTTAACGGAAGAACTGAGAAAAAAGAAGGAATCTATAATTATAATTAATTATTTTAAAAAACTACTTTTTTTTTACTTTTTTTATTTTAGAAAAAGAAAATTATAAATCTTTAAAAATTGTTTTTCTTTTGTATAACCTTAGTACTTTGGAATATATTTATAAAACTTCTTGTTGCTTACTATAAATTTATTATATATAAATTAAAAAATTATCATTTTCGAATTTTATCTAGATTTATTTATTTTAAAAAAAAAATAGGAAATGAGGTTGTGTTATCGTTTATGCAAAGCAACGACCCCAAACAAGAGCCAAACACATCCATCTTCAAAATGACTAAGAAATCAACTGCGGTTGTTTTCTACAAATAAATAATAATAAAAGCTTTACTTTTCTACTTTTTGTATTTTTTAAAAGTTCGTTAAAACTTAAAAAATACGCTAAAAACTATCTAATATTATTTACCGTTGAAAATAATCTTCAATAGCATAAAAAACTTAATAGTGCAATTTAATTTATAGCAATCGAGACAACCTATATATATTTGGCATAGTTAACAAAGAACTTTTATACAACTTCAAGTTAATGACATCTTTTTTAAAATTTTTATGTAATTTTTAGTAAATATATTGATCCAAATATATCATATAAAAATAATAAACAAAAAGAAATTAATTCTTTCCACCAAAAAAATAATTTGACAAGCAGAGAAAAAATTTTAGTATTAAAAAAAATAAAATATTTTATAATTAATTATTCTTTAAATACAATAAAAAATAAAAATTAAAGGTTTGTGCGCATCGGCTTTTATAAAATTAAAAAAAAGTGTTTTTTTAAAAAATGTTAGTTTTTTTTGAAAACTTTTAAAATGTTTTAGTGTTCTTTTCTTTTCTTATAAAAACATCATATATTAAGAACAACTAGTCGTTTAAATGTAATAATATATGGTATAAATAAATTTTTATAAAATTTGTAATTTTATATTTTATGATACTAATAGAAGGGTTTAGTTTAACTCAAGATAAACAAAATACTATGTGAACCTCCTTTTTCTCTCTCTTCTTACTATTTCGATAAAAAAAATTGGCTCAAAGTACTGAAAGTTTTAATAGTGTTTTTCCACAAATAGTATTATTTCATTCAAATAGCAGTATAATAAAATAATTAGAGAAGAACGCGAAGGAAAGATTCAATTGTTCTACAGGTAAGCGCCTTTTTAAAAAAATATAACGTTTAGGTAAGTTTAAATTACATTTTTTTTTTTAGAGAAGTAAGGGTTTGTTTAAAAGATTTCAGACTAGACGGTTGTGTTAGCGAAAAGAAATTGTAGGAGCCTAAGGGAAAGCATCAATTTAAAAACGGCAGTTAAAAACAATCCTTTAGCATTATATAATATTAGAAATGCTGAAAAAGTAAGTATCACTCGTATAATAGCTTTTTGTATTCTTTGAAAGTAGCCCTCTACCCCTAACAAATTTAAATTCTAATGAAAGCACGAGAGCATTGTACACTCAAAATTGCCGTAAACTTTGCTTTGGTCGACTTCGGTTACACACTCCAAACCTTTTCTACCAGAAAGCAGCTGCGCAAGAGAGAGTCACCAAAGAAAAGACGGAAAAGTTCGATGCTTGTCATTCCATGCATGTTCATAGTTTACAGTCACTGTGTGTCTATGTCGGTTTAGAAAATAATCACCCAAAGAATCGAACTCCCACAAATCATTAGCAGCCCATAATTGCTAATGACTTGCACCAGTCCATCTCACGCAGGTGAGCGGTCATTAAATTAAATTATTAGCTTGTTTTTTCAAGAGCTCAACCTTTTATTAACTGCCAAGCAAAAGCTAAGAGTTTAATATATGGTTTATTACTAAATGTTTACTCATATTTTCAAAATTTTTTGATGGTGGTTTAAACAATATATGCTTAGTTTTTATCTATATTGTTTTTATCTATATTGGCTTTCAGCAAAATATGTATTTAGAGTTACAAATTCTAAGGCATTTAAAATAAGTTGTTCAAGATTACTTTTAAGGTGAAATCTGCAAGCAAAAGCTAAGTTCCTTATTAAGTGTCTTCCTACTAATCAAAATCCTGGACACGCAAAATTTATTTAACTGATTGTAGGCCATGGTTAATCAATTACCTAACTTGTTAAAAAAACCAGATTGCTGCTAACAGCTAATACCGGTGGATTATACAGAAAGTCAGCAGCAGTATAAAATTTAAAAGATTATCAGGTGACACATTTAAGTGTTTAAAATTCTTAACTCAAGTATGTAAGTGGAAGGCTTTTATAACTTTTTACTAAAGAAGTTGTAACCAACTGTTTATAATTGGTAGTAATAAAAGATTGTGCTGCTTTTTCTTGGATGAAGTCGTAGTGTGTAGTTATTATTATATATATTAGTCTAAAAAAAGAACTCAACCATAATATTATGGGAGATTTAACAAGTGTCACAGACTTATAAAGAATAGCCTATCATTAAAAATGTTTTAATAGATTTACATTTTTATTTTTAATTTCACAGAGGAAGTGGAGAGCTTTTTACTTCTTTCACCTTCTTTACTTCACGTAATAATAAATGTGGTGTACTAAACACAAAAACTTTACGTAATTTAATATATTACGAAAAAAACTCAGGATATGTAAGGTGTATAACCTACTTCCTCTTATAAGATGAAAAATACTTTAAAACAGTCGATAACTTATTCTCTTTAATTACTTAAAAAAAAAAATTTGTATGTAGCACTCATATTATGCGATTGACTTAGTCTAAAAATACCATAAAATTTACTATATCTAGCTGTTTTAGGTGGTTACAATATATTAAGTAGGGCTTAATTACTAATATAAAAAATATTCTTTGCATTAATATACTTAAAAATAAAAAAGAGATTCCAAAAATTATTTGAAAATTTGAAACCTTTACATATTAACTATGTAACCGTTAAAATTTAAAAAAGAATGATAGGGAATCTGATATAATGGCTGAGCTTAGCTCTCTGTAACTGCAAGTTATGACCCACTTTCTTTGAATCACCCTCAAAATATTTGATTAGGTATAAACGGTAATTTTGTCTTTGTTCTTAACTTCGTTAGTTACCGTTATTTAGCCTTCTTTATAAACAAAAAAACATTCAAACGAAGCTAGAGCTTAAAATGTACTTACTCAAAAGACTTTTTTGAAAAAAAAATAAAGAAATAAAGTTTAAAAAAAATGATACCATACCCTGTTAAAAAATAATAGCGCTTAGCAGGTCTCAATTCGATGAGTAAACAGTTTGTCAAAAATATGATTTGCAATTTATTGCAGAAAGGATGCTTAAAAACGTATATTTTAGGTGCGGTAGATATTTATTAATTAATAATTCAGTGCTCATTTTTATGTTTTAGTATATAACTTTTAAATGGTAGAAAAGGTGTTAGTCAAGACGAATAAGTATGTATGCTTGCGAGCTTAAATGTTTTGTGCAAGAACACAAGTCGGTGTGCAGATACCTTCTAACAAGGATGGCTATTTTATTCTTTTTGCCATATTTTAAGTGATAGTTTTTATAAGAAATGGTTAATTTCAAGTTGAACTTTTTTTTTAAGGTGTGCCTTCGGAAGAAAAGCGAAGTTCATTTGCTTTCAAATAAGTATTCTCGTTGAGTTTATTGATATATTATATAGAGCATCGGTGTGTTTTCAAATTTTTAAAAGTTGCAAAATGTCTTTGCATGTGTAATGACTTTAAAGTGGGAGAGTAAATGTGTAAAAGGATCTCTAAATTGCTAAGCAGCGTCGGCATATGAGACCGCAATGAAAATAAGGTGTAGTTTATTTTTGATTAGTATTAATAATTATCATTTATTTTTTTTTAATATTTACTATTCTATGTAATAATAATACGTATCGTTTTTAAATAATTTATGGCATTTCGTTTAAACAAATGTATATACAATTATCGAATTAAGTATAAATTCCGTGAAATGTGTAGTTTAAAAAACAGGAATTCTTCATCGATTTATGAGATTTTACTTTGTGCCTCAGATTATAATTCCAACTTTGCCAGCTAAAAGCAATTGGTAGTTTAAAGTTCATACAACGCGGTAAGCGTAAGAGTACACTCTCTTTGAAATGTTACTATATTTAATAGAAGTATCCTAAACGCTTTACCTCAATATTTAGAAGATAAACAAGCTTGCTTAAAATTCAACAATATATTGCGTAAATTCTGAATTCTGCGTTTACCTGGCATATACTGAGGCTTAAAAAATATCATACATAGGGTTATCTTGCGTTCCAAATATTAATTACCACTCATTAACATATTTACTACGGTAAAAATGGTATTATTTAGTAATCTGCTTATGATTGACATGCAGTAGGTAAACCCTTTCAACAGTTTATGTTTTATTCTTTCATTCTTTGTTTGTAATAAGTGAGTAATATTCAAGGGAAGTGCACATGTGATTATTATATAAGTTTAGCTCGCGCACCAGCTCAGTTTTCTTTTTTTTAACATTTTGACTGATTGTTGTGATCGGGCTTGATGCGTTTGGAGAGTCTATAATAATCAAATAAATTTGGTGCTTTCTAGTACTTCGACTTTCTTATGTAATATCACTTTATTGTCTATTTTCCACAGAAGTCATACAGCAGGAGCTGGCCCTAAAGCATTCGGAACCCTGTTGTTATGGTAAATATCATCGTTTAACGATTCATTCCAATCTTTATTACTCTCAAAACAGTTTTTCATTAAGCCCTTTTAACAGTTGTATGAAACTCTCAACCGTACCATTAGCTTGATGGTGGTTGACAGTTAAGTACCCTACTTTCGTGTTTCAGAAACTGCTTCACCTCTCTGCTATGAAAGGTTGCCTCCTTATCCACAATAATATTAGTAGGCCTAATTTAAATACTTCTTCACCAAAAATCCGCATCAGCTTATGTAAACCAACATGATATAATTTGTCTATGTAACTTTACTTCTTTGCTAGTCGCTTTGGGTTCAATTTTGTCCCTAGCCTTATTGTCAGAAACTATTATGACTTCGATTTCCGCT